TATGGAATTCAAATGTGTAATTCATGGAGATGAACAACCCTAACCCAGATCCAACGCCACTGGACCGGAGCGGAGCATTCATAAATAAATATTTTTAAATATTATAATTAATTATTAAAAATTATATATTAATAAAATTATAATTATAATTAATGAAATAAACAAAATTTTTTGCGGCAATAGTATCAGCCGCAAAGTTATAACAATAATTCTGATGAAAAAAAAAAATTATATGTACGGTACAAATGATAAGATCAATGATTATTCTCCCTCTCTGCGCCAAAACAAACGGCGTCGTTTCTCTACTCCTCCATCGCAAATGACCAGAATGTTGGAGATCCGGGATTCCTGATGCTCACACCCTCACCTGAGTCACCTCACCAAACCAAACTTAGGTTACCAAACCTAACCCTAGTTAATACCTTAACACAACTCTAGTTATCTTTCACCGTCAGATCAGTCCACGTGTCCCTATTAACGGCTCAGATCCCCTTTCTTTTACACAATTACCCATCTCTCTCTATAAAAAAGTTTCCTTCCCCAAAACCCTAACAACTCATCGGAAAAATCCCTCTTTCTTACCTTCTTAAGCTCAGTTGATATGTCTAACCCCAAGGTCTTCTTCGACATAACCGTCGGTGGCCAGCCCGCCGGTCGCGTTGTCATGGAGCTGTACGCCGATGTTGTGCCTCGCACCGCTGAGAACTTCCGTGCTCTCTGCACTGGAGAGAAGGGCGTTGGCCGCAGCGGCAAGCCTCTCCACTACAAGGGCTCCACCTTCCACCGCGTGATCCCTGGATTTATGTGCCAGGGAGGTGACTTCACCGCCGGAAATGGCACCGGAGGCGAGTCAATCTATGGAGCCAAGTTTGCCGATGAGAACTTCACCAAGAAGCACACCGGCCCCGGTGTCCTCTCCATGGCTAATGCCGGCCCCGGAACTAATGGATCCCAGTTCTTCATCTGTACTGCTAAGACTGAGTGGCTTGATGGGAAACACGTGGTGTTTGGACAGATCGTCGAGGGGATGGACGTGATCAAGGCAGTTGAGAAGGTCGGCTCCAGCTCTGGAAGGACCTCGAAGTCCGTCGTGATCGCCGACTGCGGTCAGCTTTCTTAAACCGGTGCTTATTGATACTCAGATGGCGGTGGTGTTTTATGGCGGTGTTTTATGGCTAGTGTTGTTTCTAATTTTCTCTATCAGGGTTTTGAATCTTTTTTCAGTGACTGGGTTTTGTGTCTGTTTGGGGTTGAGAACTGTTTATGGTGGTTTTTATAATCCACCATATTAAATAAGATAGGTGTTGTCTTGAAAGTACCAATCATCCTTTCATTAATCTGCTCTAATTCTAATGTTCCATGCATGATTTAGATGATTTTGGTCAATTCTAATATAACTGCAGGGTCTCTTGTTGTTATTATAATCTGGGTTTTCTTTTTGATTGTAGTGATTCTCCTACTGGTTCTGAGTTCTCTAATTTATGGGTGAAAATTAGTTTTGTTCATCCAAATGAGTTTTTTTTGGGCCTTTTTCAAGTGGGTTCTTTCTAGGGTGCGAATCATCAAACGCTGTTTTTTTTTTTTTTTTTTTGGGGAAAATAATATAAATGGAGAGTGGAGTTGTGGAGTAGGTGTTGAGCTTGAATATCCCATGTAGAGCCTTTTTGGGGTACAATTGCTTGTTAGAAACTTAAAGCCTCTCGTTGGTTAAAGGCTGGAAAGTATATATTTTATTCGGGGAAAAGTGGTTGAAAATGGTTCTATAGAAACAGATAAGTTTCTCCATGTTGATTGATAAGTTTCATGTTGATAAATTTGTTGGGAGAAAGAATTTTGTCAAGTGGGGAATCTTAGAAGAAAAGATTGCACTAAAATTGTCCAGTTGCGTGTGAAAATACTAAAATATTCCTGGGTCCTAGGTAAAGGAGAAAAGCTTTTCTCCGACCAAATACATCCCCCTATTATTTCCCAAGCCACATAAATGTGTAGACTACATTTGTAGTATTGTGGGGGGGAATATGTAGTAGAACAATTCTCCCTAGCCTATATTTTTATAAGTCGTTTTCCAAGCCGTTTTTGAGGGTTTTAGGTCGCTTTTACTTTGTGTGGTGGATTACATTTTTGTTAGGTATTTAATTATTCACATAAACTTTGGCATAAAATTAATATTGTAACTAAGCCCATTAATGTATCATAATAATCTGATTAAGAGTAGTTTTATTCCTGATTTTGACTAAACATCTATATATATATATATATATATAACTACTAATATATAGAGGAAAAGAGAGGGGGGAAGCAAAGAGATAGAGTTCCAAAAATAATAATAATAATAATGATAGTTCCAAAAGAAACAATGATAGAAGTAAAGGCAAGTGAAAAAGTATTAGAAGAATAATACTAAGTTACATCTTTTATATTTTGACATAAATCTTTTCTAAT